ATACTGTAGCCCCTACCTGAAAATGGGGCATGTACAATCAGAGTAGAACTCCAAACAACTATTAGGGAGGAGTGACTGGATACTCTAGAGAGGGTCCCATGATCCTTCCCACCCAATGTTTAGGAAGGAATGTCAACAGTCAACAAGCCTAGCTATGAAGATGTTTTGTAAGCAGGTCTAGCTCAATTCCTGAAGATGGTAGGAGTTTGGCTCAGAAGATAGTCCTGCACAACAATAATGATTATATATATATATATATATCATGATAGAACATATATAATCTAAAAGCCTCTACTTAAAAAAAAAGTTTACAGTGAACAAAATACACACACTTGGCATTATCTACCATTCACAGCCTGACATAATAAAGCAAAAAAGAAGGAAGGAAGAAAAGGGGAGAGTGCAGCATCTTTCACCAATCAAATTTAGAAATAGCTTAATTATATTTGCAATATACTGAGGAAATGATCTAGTCAGTCCCAGCTTAACTAATAGAATTTATGATATCTTGCTTAAAAGAAAAAAATTAGTGGTGTTGTGTGCTAAAAGGAAAATAAGAGCAAGCCAAACTGAAATGGCAATTATAAATGAATTGCCATCCTGACAACCACAAAAAGCAAAGGGTACTTGCTAGTAGGAGTCACAAAATTGGCTTAGAGCTTCCAGAAGCCAATGCACTAGGAAAGTCTATTCAAAACTAAAATTTGCAGGATGAAGAGATAGCTCAGTCAGTAAAGTACTTTGCCTTACAAACATAAAGACTTGAATTTGATCCCCAGAACCCACATAAAAAAATCAGGCATATGGTGAATAATTGTTATCCCAGGGCTGAGAAGGTAAAGTCAGGAAGATCCCTGGGGCTCATCTGAATTAGAGGAGAGCTCCAGGTTCAATGAGGAACCCTGTCTCAAAACAATAAGGTAAAATGCAACTGAGGAAGACACCTGACATCAGCTTCTGGCCTCGACACCATATATTAGAGAACCTGCACCCCCCTCCCCCATATACATGACGTTCCTAAATAGCTTGAGAGCTAGTGATGTATCTCAGTTAGTAGAGTATTTTTCCTTTCATGCATAAGACCTCAGGTTTGATTGCCAGCACCAAATAACAGGTGATTCAAATAAACTGGGGAGTTTAAGGTAGTCCTTGGCTCTATACATAGTTCCAGGTCAGTTTGGGCTACAGAAACCCTGTCTCAAAGAAAAAAGTGGTTAAGAGTTACATAATCACGAGGATTAGAGTTTCCATCCTAGTACCTGTGCAATAAGCCAGCTGGGTGTCCTGCTAACATGAGGAATTGGACAGCCTGTTCAGGCCTCCATGCATGTGTAAGCACACACACTACACAGGTGCACACACTCAGGTAGACATAAGTAAAATCTTAAAGAACTATAACACGAAAGGAGAATTGTCACAAAGCTGGTGAAAAACTCAAAGTATGAGACAAAAATTTGTCAGTCTTAACACACATCTTAGAAATGGTCTTAACTAGACCAAAAATAAAGAAAGAGATGATCTGACAACTTTCATTTAATATATACCTAAGTTGGATGTAGGAGAAGATGCCTGTAATCCTAACACTAGGAAGTTTGAGGCAGGAGGATCACCTAAATTTGAGGCAGTATAGTAAGACACTGTTTCAAAAACCTCAAAAATTATGACAAAACCCACAAAGCAAACAAAAGCACCTATACATAAATGATTTTGACTATAAATACAAATTCATTTCAAATAAAAGGAGAATATAAATTAAGCACTAAATTCCATAAAATTTACATTATAACTAACCTATCAACCACTGAACTAAGAAAGTAAAAATTAGCTAAGGTTGAGAAAATCAAATATGCCCTGCTTTTCATCCAGTTGGGCAAATGGACTGAATAATCAGCCATGCTGAGGCTGTAAACGAGACTTGCACAAAAGGGTACAGATAAAGATATCCATTAGTCAAGACCAAATAAAACTGAGATGTGAAGGACTATCAAGTCTAATCTAGAGTATGACACGCCCAGGACGCAAAGATTGTTCAATATTAACGATTAGTAAAGTATATCCAATCCAGGTGGTTAAATCCAGAATCATAAATGGATTAGAGTTCAACATAAAAGATCAGGCCTTTCTAACATTTCAAATGTGACAGCTGAAGAGATGGCTCAGTTGATAAAATATTTTCTGTGCAAACATGAGATCCTGAGTTCAATCCCTACCATACACATAAAAAAGCTAGGCATGAGAGTCAGTGCTTGTAATTCCAGCACTGGGGCTTGGGTGGAGTGGAGACAGGACACCTGGAGCTCAACAACCATCAAGCCTAGCCAAATCAGTGAGCTTAGGTCAGTGAGAGAGAATCCCTGTCTTAAAATACAAGGTGGATGGCTCACAGATACCTAAGGTAGACCTCTGGCCTACACGGGGACATACACATACGCATATGCATTTACACACACAGGAACCAGAACACACGTGTGCATACCCACACACAAGTGAGTAAACGTCCAATGATATGAAAATGTTAAAACTTTGGCTTGACCTAATAAATATTAGACATCAATATTTGTAGAGCCAGATAAAGCAGAACTCGGAGGGGAAAGTACTGCAACAAAAACAGAAAAGAAGAGCAGTCATTTTTATAGAAAGAACTCTTAAAATACTACCGCTCTAACTATTCTCATGGAAAAAACCAGAGAGCCAGAAAAGTACAACAATCAAAGAAGTAAAGCAGACAATGATTGAAGCAGTAATTGTTTTTCAGTGTTACCTTGCTAAAAGGTCTAAGGGCAACAATGAAACAAATATCCCCAAACTGCTTGTGAAATATACAATAACAATCCTTCCATGGCCATATGGGACACTGCTAAAAATGCTCTTACCTCAAGGCAAAATGACCCTGGCCTGACACCCCAGTGCTCAGGAAGGAAGCAGAACAACACTGCAAACTAGCCAAAGCATGCTCATGGCTTTTTACTCAGAAAGGGGAGTTCTCTATACTAGGCAGGAAATGACAGGTGCAGCAAATAGATGAGGTGGAGATTAGGGTAGAAGCTACGCATTCCATAGGAGGCACCAACGTAAATGAGCTCTGACTGACCAGGATGCATCTCCTGTCACTGAAAATAAGGATGTCAAGCACCTTGAGGAAACAGGGAAAGGATCCTCACATAATCTAAATTTTAAAATGATATACACACCTACAGCAGTTTGTAGTTATATGTTTCTCTCTTCTGCTTTTCTGTATTTTCCAGAGAAGTCTTAAATTTTTATGAAGTTAATAAGACAATTAAGAGTGGGAGGAATCAAACTCACCTTTCCTTAATTTCCAATTCTATATGTAAAATACATTCTAAAACATATATCGTGAGGAAACACATTGAACTAACTCCATCCCTTGCTGTTACCCAAACTTAGGAGGTGCCAGTACATAGTTGCTATTCATTTAAAATATTCACACTCTAAAATATGTTATTTGTATTTACTATTACTGAGACAGGGTATCACTAGGACGGCTTGGCTGACCTGGAACTGGCTATTTGGCCCAGCTGCCCTCCAAATCAAAAGAGATGTGCCTACCTCTGCTTCCCAATGGGATTAAAGGCGTGTGACAATATACCTGGTACCATTCCACTATAGTTTTTAATTCCATTTCTCAAACTGTTACACAGTTAAGGAGTACCTCCATATTTTCTATGCAGTGTCACCAAACAGACAGCTTCATTTGGACGTTCTCAGACATGTATGGCACGATCCTCTGAGCACATTCATCTTCCCATTACCCCCTCCAGTCCTGTCCTCACAATAGGTCCCTTTATGACATATACGTAGCACGCTCAAATCTAGACAGTGAACAAGATTGCTAACGGCAGCTTAGTTCTATGGCAATGTGTTCATTATGCACGTTCTGTGCTATCTTAATGTGAGCTCAATAAATCCATTATATGCTCTTTTAGAAAGATGACTGAAACTCAACATTTTCAGACTGTAACTCAATAATACAATCGATATTTCAGTATTTTAGAAAGCCGAGCTCTGGATGAATTTAAACGTGGAACTACCTGCTGTTAAAAGTTACACCTGTGGAAGTAAGGCCACAATCATGCCTAAATCTGATACCTTAAGGGTGTCCAGTATACCCCGATCCTTAAACGTCTGGTATAGCTTTTTGCGCAGTTCATCTTGATTCAACACATCACACTTGTGGGGCATGGTGGACTGAAAAGAGAAAATAATGAGTTACCTAGTGGCAAAGGGGATCTGAATTTCAGAAATCAGACCAGTGACCTCACTGGAAGCACTAAGATGCTTAACAAAGCTTTAAGGAACATAAACAAAAGTCCTTTCTGAAAAACCCTGTTAAGTGGCAGGTGGAACTACCTGAGCCATCGTAGTTTCCTCCGGAGCTCGCCCCTCCAGGGTCGGACTCCTTGGCCCGGGACAGACCGGAGGAGGAGAGGGAGCCCTTGAACTCCGAGCCCAGCTTCTGTCTCTGGGGACCTAGAGGAACAAGAGAGCTGAACATTCAGCCCATTATTCCATCAAACACACGCACTTCCTCCGGGTGTGGGGGGGCGTGATCCAGGAGGGACTCTGGACTGAATAAAGACGGAAATCACTAGGGAAACACCAGAAGCGGCCGCTCAGTAGACAGTTTTCACTGCTCCAGAGCTCACTCCTACACCGCCCTCTGCCCGCTCAGCCGGCCCAACGTCGACCCGGCCAAGCTCAACCGCCGAGGGTAGGCGCGCTACGACGCACGCGCGAGCTTAGGCCGGAAGTCCCAGCCACCTCTCGCGAGAGCATAGCCTCAGATCTCGCGGGAGGGACTCTGGGTTTCCTGGCTGAAGCTACGGGGTGCGAGTTCACGAGGCTAGTGATTCTACTATCGGCTCCTCCCTACAGGTAGGATTGGGAGGGAAGTAGGGGGCGGATGCTCCGGGTCCCGAGGGGATTGCAGGCCTCACGTGATGCGGACGTTGGTCTCATACCTCTATCTAGCCCTGATTCGGAACAGCAGGACCAGCCCCCGGGGCCGCTTAGTCAGTGTTCTCCTGGTTGATACAGCCTCCGTTTGCACGTAGGAACGACCTGTGCGCACTCAGAGGCAGTCAGGTAACTCAGTGTATCTTCACTGCAATGCCTTTGCCCTTTGCAGCTGGTTTGTTGTAGAAAGCAGTCCTGGGCATCATCTTACTTTGACTGCATCGTTGGTCTGTTTCCCTACCCCCGCACTCACGTGTCTCCAGACTTTGACAGTTTGCTCTCAAAGAGGCTAAAAGCGCATCTCCTTGAGAAGCACGGAGCTTAATTTTATAGAGAACCTCCGTGGTGTGTTTGCTGATCTGTGGGACAAATGGAATTCCAGCTGTCAGGAGCACAGGGCTGTTTCTAAAGGTTCCTCCATAGAGACTGTAGAGAGATTTGCTTTAAAAATGGATGATGGCTTTGAACTGGGGTGCATGCGTTTTATCTTGTGTTTGCCTGTAACCTCAAATGTTTAACTTGGAAAGGATTTCTAAGTTCATCCTCCCGCCCTTCCACCATCGCACCATATGAATTTTAACTTCCTGGTAACTTCAGATGACAGCCCTGGGCTTGGCCTCTAGTGCAGTTTAGAATAAATCTATTAAGTCCAGAGTTAAAAAAACAAACAAACTTGGCCTTATGTATGTACTGCACTCCTCAAACCCATACCAGACATGAATAATTGATCACAGCCTTCCACTGCTGACCACACTTTCTCAGCACCAACTCCTGGCAGCCGTACCAGCTAAGTAGACAGCTAAGTAGATTTTGCTCACAAGAAACCCTATGGTATTCCTAGTCAAATCACTTTTCTGCTAGACATTGTATTTCGATAACATCGGAACATTTATCCACCACAGAACACTTCCTCCCTACTTAGCTTAAAACACCCTCAGCTCCTTCAGTTGCTCTTGTTTTGTTTGCAGACCATTCGTTGTCTAAGTCCCACCCTTCCCCCAAAAAAACAGTGTTTAAAGGTATCCACCATTTGAAACTATGGTTCCCAGAAATGAGTACTTTCACAGGTAATGCAATGAAGATGACAGCAGAACTTTTTACACATCTTTCTTGGACACAGTCTTACTCAGTTTTTGGTTGTTTGGTTTGTATTTTTAGATTTATTTTATGTGTGTGTGTGTGTGTGTGTGTGTGTGTGTGTGTGTGTGTGTGTGTGATGAGTAAGGTAGCCACAGAAACCAGAAGAAGGCATTAGATCCCCTAGAGCTGGAGTTACAAGCAGTTGTGAGCTGCCTGAGGATTGAACTTGGGATTGAACTTGGGTCCCCTACAAGAGCAGTGTGTTCCCTTAACTGCTGAGCAATCATTTTGTCCCAGCTGTCTTACTCTTCATTCAGCCTAGACTGCTTTAGCTTTCCTTTCTTGACATGTCAGGCTGCTACCTTACTGAGCAATAAATCCACATTTTGGGGATGTTCACATTTCTTTTACTCTAGGTTTCTCTCCTTTTGTTGTGCAGTTGGTTTGTTGTTACTGCTTTTAGTTTTTTGAGGCAGAGTCTCATACTGTGGCCTAGGCTGGACCAACTCATAACTGATCTCTTGTTTTAACCTCCCTAGTGCTGGGATTAAAGATGTGAGCCACAATACCTGGCTTCTGTTTATTTTAAAACTCAAGTACAAGACTATGTCTCAGCCTCTTATGTGGTAAGAATTTCATGCAACACTTGTAGACTTTCAGGTCCTGTAGTGTCAGTCCTGTTCCCCCATTTTGAGACAGGGTCCCTCTATGTAGTCTTGGCTATCCTTGGTCTTATATCTAGGCCATGCTGGCTTAACCTCACAAAGATCCACCTGCTTCTGCCTTACAAGTGCTGGAGTCAAAGATGTATGCCACCAGACCTAACATTGGAGATCTTTTTCATTCCTAACTTTTGCCTGTTAATAAACTCTTAATAGTTACCTTGCATTTGAATGTGATAAGTTGTCTTTAAGTTGCTGATTTAGTGCCAGCCATGATAGCCAGACCTACAACCTAAGCACTCAGGAGGCTAAAACAAGAGGATCATGAGTTCAAAGCCAGCCTGGGCTACACAGCAAGACCACATCTGAAAACGAAACACGTGCACGCGCGTGCATGCACACACACACACACACTCCCTCCAGAAGAAAAGGTATTGATCTAGAGGTCAGTGGAAACCTCTGTGGCAATATTGGACCTTGAGTTAGCATAGAACACTCAGATATTTCTGGGTATTAATTTTAAGTCAGATATAGGTCTCACTTAATCAGCAAATAATGAGTGTTGGCTATATCTCTGGCACTGTTAGAACCCTGGGGATACTATACAGAACAAGAACAGTATGTCTGTTCTCTTTAAGGACTTCTTTCTGTCACCCAGGCTATTGGTCTCCATTGTGCTCCTACATAGATACCAAAATATCCAGAAAATTTACTGTCCACCTGTCACATTTCCTTTGCTGAGCAGAAAAGTTACGTTTGATGTAATTTGTTCTTAGTATAAGTAGAGAATGAAAATGACTAATAACCTGGATGCAGTGGTAGTAGTGGTTTCTGTACAGAGAAAGGTCCTGACATGCTATCTGACCAAAATCGGCCAGGTAACACCTATTTAGGTTGGTGTTTAGCATCATGAATGTACCTAGTCATAGATGAGAAGATATCCTTTTATCTATTTCTGAAAATCAGAATAACGTTACCTATCTCTTAGCATATAGAACCTTTCTGTGCCTGTGATTTCTTTAATGTCACTTAACAGTAGATGTAGAGTTGTTGATCCAAGCTATATAATTTGCCAGGACCTGAAGACTCTTCAATTGAAATGCCTAGGAAATTTTCTAATATCTAATATGCAGTCTTAAAATTTGCACCCTGCCCTGTCTGGCTTGCTGATGAGAAGTTATGCTTTGTATGTAACAGGAAAAATGGAAATTAGGCAGATTTGCATCTTTGTTATTTCAGTGTATGTCCAGTGCTAGAAGCCCTTCTTTTCCTAATGGTAACAACCTACAGAGGCATTTGCTTTTCTTACATATTTTGTACACTTAAGTTCTCTTTTAATTTTGCTCTTTTCATGGAGTCTGGCTGGCTTTGAGCTTAGGATCTGCCTGCCTTAGCTTCCTCGGTGCTAGGATTCCATGGCTGGTTTAATCTCAGTATTTGGGAGTCAGCTAATAAGCACCTATTCTATCCATAGGGACTGTAACGTATTCAAAACTTGTAGAGATTAATATATGGACATCTCCAGCAAGGGAGGGACATTAATCAGGTTTACTTGAGTGAGGCATTTTGAAACCATCCTGAATTATCCTTCCCCCCCCCACCCAGTATAATCTACTCCCAAATTGTGTATGTCCACCTCCTCAAACTAGCCCTGTAAAGATGCTTCAAGGGTCTCTAGGGCATTGAAGAAAATGAGCAGACAAGTACATTGGTCAACACAGTTACTTTTAACCAGAGCAGTTACTTGTGTTTACTTATTTGTGAGTTCTCATTTTGAGACAGGGTCTCATTCTAGTTCAGGCTATTCTGGAACTCACTATGTAGTCTAGGCTGGCCTCAGAGCCACAGTGACCCTCCTGCCCCAGCCTCCCCAAGTTCTGGGAAAAAACAGGCATGACACAGCTCAGCTCGTATTGTTTTAAGGGTGAAATTCTAAATGGTAGTACTTACTTTATGGATAGAAAAGGTGCAGAGGGGAAATAGAAACATGGTTGGAGCTGATGTTGACAATTTAAGACCTGCTGACTAAGTGAGTGAACAAAATTTGCTAATAACAATTAATGACCAGCATGCTTTTCCTTTACCCTGACTCATTCCTTACTGGTAGGATCAGTCTTTTCAGTATTTGAGTTTTTGTTCAATGAGCCAGAAAAGTAACTTTGTAGTAACAGAATGTCATCCAATCAACTGTGTATTTATTGTAAATACCAGTGAACAGTAGTCAATAAATAGTTTTACCTTCCTTTATGTGAAAAAAAGGTGCAGAGGTTTTCTAGAGTTTGGAATCGGTGACTTAGAGTTGAGCTGTTCTGTATTGGAAATGCCATGCTGATACTTAGATTCAAACTAAGAAATTAAACTTTCACTTCTGCAGTTATCCTAGCCACATTTCAGATCCTTAGTGGCTTCTATATTAGATAGTATATTATAGAACATTTCTATTGTGGTAGAAAGCTCGTTGGAGTGGACAACAGAAGTGTGTGTCACCTTTGCCCAGTGCCCAGCATGAATGAGATGAGCCTGAGAATAGTAGCTAAGTCTAAATGCTGCATACTTTCTCTTACATGTGAGATCTAGGTTGAAAAACATTTGCAAATAAAAGAAGTGAGGACTGTTTGAAAGAGGGTATCTGTAAGGAGGGAGTAACAAAAGGGCGCTAAGGAAATGGGGATGACCACAGTGGGTCTCGGTGACTGTGTGACATGGATTCTGTGTGGATGAAGATGGCTTGGGAAAGCCAGTGTTTGTGCAGTTAATAAGTGCTAAGGGAAAGAAACTCTGTCTCGCTGGCCAGTTGGGTAGTTTGTAAGAGAACCCTTATGTGTCTGTCTTTCAGCTCCTATTCTATTTCATGCTATCCTTAGACACGACACTTCTTTACCATTTGCACATCCTATGAAGGAGCTGTGGGTTTGATGTGGATTATCTTTCTGTGCATGCATTTCCTTCTGCTGTCTGGGGGCTCCCTCCTATGCTGTTGTTGCTTAAAACTATTTGTGTGTAAATCCTTCCCTTGGCATACTGTAGCTCTGTAGCCTATTCTAGCAAGAATTCATCCTTGTTTAGTTGCTTCAGAGTTCAAGTTCTCTTTCCTTCCCTTTTCTCTGTGACTACTCCGAAGGCTCCCTAGCCTTGCATAGTTTTCTATCATTACTGCTTATCTTTGTTATCCACTTTGAGTATTGGATCCTTCTCCTAAAACTAACAGCTTTTTCTGGGAAGGACTAAATGGTAAATACTTTTGGTCTCTATGCTAGATAATCTCTGTTGTCAATACTCAGCTCTTCCATTGCAGGATGAAGGCAGGTTTTAGACAGTAGTAGGGTGTATGAGGTTAAATTTTGGCCTACAACCTACAGGTGTGGGCTCCTGCCCCAGATAATGTTCTAAATACTTCATTGTGCCCAAAAGAGTCTCAAGTTTGTCTTCCACAGTTATAGACTTCCATTTTGAACTAAACGTGCTATCTTTGCCTTGCTTTTCTTCATTAGGGAACACATTCCAGATTTCTTTGGATTTCATTGATTTTTCTGTGAATCAGCAGACAACCTAGAGGACTTGGTAAGTTGTGGCCTCTCATGGCCTCAGATGTCCAGAAGGCTAACTAGACACTCCAGTTGCCTAGATTCCCATCCCATGTTGTGTCATGTATTCTTCCATGTTATTCTAGACAACACTTAATCAAGTATTCACTGTTAGCCAGACATCCTTTGTTAGATTTCCATGCTTTACATATATTAGGTTATATAGTAATCCTTCTACATATCAGTAAAGTAGCTCCAGTGTTACCACTATTGTATAGATGAAACAGACAGGGTGATTAAACTGGTACCTATGGTCACATTCCAAGTAAGACTCAGAACCTGGCTTTGTCTAAATCCAAAGCCCTTGTACACACATACTAAAATCCACCCCCGTCTCCCAACTAGCTTTCTGATAATGTCTGTTGAAACCTATGGAATAGGGCTGGTACAGTCAGAGCACTTGCAAGCCCGACAACCTGTGTTTTATCTCTGGGACTCACATGATAAAAAGAGAGAACTGATCTGCATGGTACCCAACACACACACACACACACACACACACACACACACACACACACACTATATTTTTTAATGTAAAACATGGAATACTTGGTTTCTGCCCACCTTACCCCAATTGCTCTTATTTTTGTTGTTGTTTGTTTTTATTTTGAGACAGTCTATTATGTAGCTATGGCTGCCTTAGAATTTGGTATATAGACCAGGCTGGCCTGGAAGTCATAGAAATCCATCTGCCTCCACTTTCCAAATGCTGGCATTAAAGACTTGTCTATTATGCCTGGCAAACTTATAATAAATTAGTGTATGAAGAGACATATTATAGGCCCTTATATTTTCAGAGACTTAAATTTGTAGCATACATCCTTCTGATAGAAAGAGGACAAATATACTGTATAATCTGTGAACAAATGTTATTACATTGTCTCTTTTGTGTAAAAATGGTTTGTGGTATAACTGGCTTTTAGCTTCTTTTGGAGGGTACCTCCTGAACATATTTCTGAGACAAGCTAATTAGTTCCTCAGTATTGAGGATTAAAAATATATGTTGTTGTTTCATTTAAATTTTACTAGGAGCTACATATTGAAGACAATGTCTGGAAGCTTCTACTTTGTAATTGTTGGCCACCATGATAATCCAGTTTTTGAAATGGAATTTTTGCCACCTGGGAAAGCAGAATCCAAAGTATGTATGCAACTTTAAATTAATAAGATTTTTTGTGTCATTTGTAATGGTATGTCAAAATAGTGTTTTAGAACTGAAATAGATCAGGATAAATAAAACAACTGAGATATAGCAAAAATTCAATTACATTTTCTCTGAAGTCCCATAGACTGATAGAAAACAGGGAAGGAATTTCACCCACTATGAAAGGCTTCTTAAGCATACAGAAATGTGGCCAAGGACAATTTTTGTTGTCTCCAAATGCCACTGTAGTTCATTGTGCTTCAGGAAATCATATTTTTCACCAGAACAGACATAGATCAGTTTACACCTGAGGATTAAAAAGAACCTTACTCCCATGTTGTCCTGCTATCATCACTGGGATTATAGCCATTTCTGTGGCTTTTCCAGCACTGCTTAAATTGTCTCCATCTTACTGACAGCCAGGCCACATCAGGAAATTCTAAAAGCAACAGCAGAGGTAATGCTTTCTTGTTATCTAACTTGTCTTGGTCTTAGTTCTTTCTCTAGCTACCACTCACCTTAAAGCATTTCCACAGTATATATCCAACCCCTCAAGTGTGATCATCAGTATATAGGAAGGAAAAGCATTGCTGAGAGACGGACACAGCTATATCCATTTCTCTAAGGATTCAGCTTGCTTTGGCATGACAGCATTAGGGATGCAAGCATACTTTAGCTGTGTAAGGGTTCCTGGGCAACTGGTGACCTTCCATGGCCTCATTCTGAGAACAACCTATCTAGGAAGAAGGTTATGCTAGTTTCTTGTGGCTGTCATAGCACAGCATCCAAAATTGAGTGGCTTAGAACAGAAATGCACAGTAGCAGTTTTAGGAGCAGATGTCTGAAATTGACGCCTTGGCAAGGCCTCATTCCTATGGAAGGTAGTTCTCTTGGCTTTTGGCAACTTAGTGTCTGTCTTCTGGTAGCATTCTTCTTGTGTACATATGTCCAAATCTCCCATTTAATTTTTTGTTGTGGAGGATGTGTCAGAATGTCACTTTGTAGCTGACTGTCCTGGAATTCACTAGGTGGCCCAGGATGGCCTCCAGTTCATGGATATTCTCTGTCTTCAAAAGCCTTAGTTCTGGGATTACAGGTATGAGCCACCACACACCACAGCAAACCTTTTTTCTAAGGACAGCAAGTACATTGGATTAGAGGACCATTCTACTCCAGAATGACCTCATCTTAACTAACCACATCTTCAGTGACCCTCTTTCTAAGGCCACATTCTGAGGACCATATGACTTTTGAGAGGGACTCTATATACCAGTGGTTCTCAACCTTCCTAATGCTGTGATGCTTTAATACAGTTCCTCATGCTGTAGTAACCTCCCCAACCATAAAATTATTTCATTGCTACTTTGTAACTGTAATTTTGCTACTATTATAAATCGTAATATAAATATCTGATATGCAGATGGTCGTAGGTGACCCTGGTGAAAAGGTTTTTCAACCTCCAGAGGGGTTGCCACCCATAGTTTGAGAACCACTGCTATATACCATATAGAATGTCATCCATAGCAGGTAGTTCTTGAAAACCACATTGTGAAAGAGAATTCCACAGGAGTAAGACTTCATCCAGGTCATGAATTTGCTCTCTATATTGTATTGAGTCATTCCTGCCTTCTTTTCAGTTAGGCCATCTTGCTCATGAAGAAGATACTCATGGTTCTGACCGGATTGTCTCTGCTGTTAATAAAGATGACAACTCACAGCTGGGCTGAGCATGACCTCCCTCCCCATCACAGGTCCCAAAGCCATGTAAGCTCTGTTGTGCAAGAGGCCTATCATAGGTCTTCACAAGTGCCATCTCTACTGTCTCTGCAGCTTCTGCTCAGGAAGCCTGGCTTTCCCTTTTGCCTCCAGCCTTTGGGGCCCTACGTGCATGGCATCCCTTTGTTTCTATCCTTGATTTCTACTTTGGTCTCCGCCTAGGAAAAGTGCTCTCTTTGATCCACATCTGCTTATACACACTTTGTGTGTCTCTCTTCTAATAAGATAAGGGCTTCTGGAAAGTAGGATCTGCCTCATTTCCTCCACTAACAGTAGCAGTCTTTCTTCATATGATGAAATAGTTGTAGAAAGTTAGTAACTGCCTTCTACCAGCATTGAAAATATGTTTAATAGTTTCTTGAAGATATTTATTAATTGGTGTTCCTGTTTATGAGTGATAGATATCAATACTATAAAAAACATAATCTTTTATGTCTTATGATGATAATACATGCAGTAAATGAAAAGAGTCCTCCCCTAAGAAAAACACGTATGGAATTTCTAGAAAGAAAACAAGGCATGCTGACGCTCACCTGTAGTCCTAGCACCTGGGAGGCTGAGGCAGGGTCAGGAGCTCAAGAGCATGCTAGGCTACATAGTAAAATAAGAGCAAACACAGTACACACAAGTCGACAGAATTTCAGAATGGATTGTTGATGGTCCTCATGCTGTATGGAAATGCTTCTCTTTCTTCATTTTGTTATTTAGGATGATCACCGCCATCTGAACCAGTTTATAGCTCATGCTGCTCTCGACCTTGTGGATGAAAATATGTGGCTTTCTAACAACATGTACTTAAAAACTGTGGACAAATTTAATGAGTGGTTTGTATCAGCATTTGTCACTGCAGGGCATATCCTTACCTTATGGTAGTTTGCTTTCTGTTGCCGTTATAAACACTGTGACCAAAACCAACTTCAGGAAGGAAAGGATTAGCTTACAGTTCCCAAGTCCATTATTGAGGGAAGTCTGGGCAGGAACTCAAGCAAAAACTGAAGTAGAGACCATAGAGGAATACTGTATCCTGGGCCTACCTGCCTGTGGATGGTACGGCCATCCATGGGCTTGGCCCTTCTACAACTTCAAAAAGTAAGCCTAACATGTTTTTTCATTTAGAAGGCCTTTTAAAAAAAACATAATTTTTTTGGGGGGGGGGGTATCTGAACCATACTAAAAGCTATTTTACTTAAAGTCTGTTTCCTAACTTTAAACTATTACATTCTCCTTCAGATAAAGCTAAGTTGACTTTAAGCAGTTTATGTACTCAGCTTTGGCATCACAAAATACAGTTCATGTGATAAATTTGAAGATATCCTTCTAGATGACTGCTTTAAATGCTTCATTTCTAGTAAAGATTATGCCTTAATTCTCTTCACATATGAGATTTATTATGCTTCATGATGTGAGGCAAGAAGATGGAATAAAGAACTTCTTTACTGATGTTTATGATTTGTATATAAAGGTACGCTATACCCTAAAATTAAAATATCTGATTTTTATAAAGGATAGGGCTAGAGATAGAGCCCAAATTAAGATTTAAAAATCAGTTTCTCTTATCATTAGTAATTTCATTTTAGTGTTTTCTCACATATGTTAGGAAGCACTTATAAGGAACTAATGTGTTTTAGAAACCCTAAATTAAAAGAATTATAGGGCACAGTGGCAATGTCTATAATACCAGCACTTGGGAAAATCATGAGTTTGAGGCCAGCCAAGCTACACAAGAATTTTGGGAGAGGTTGGGGGTGGAAATGACAGCAGCAGTATATATAGGATAACTTTTTTAAAAAACTGAACATATGAGACTTTTACTGTTTATTTACATAATCCAGAGGCTCATATAGATTAATCTATTTGTAATAAATACAAGGTAAATTCAAGATCCATGTTAATGTATATAGGCCATATCAGTCATACTATTGTGAAGGTAGCTGCAGGTACTTCTCAAAACTAAAATACTAGAATACTAGACCACAGAATTCCTGAAGAGAAGCCAGGTAAGGAGATGCATGCCTATGATCCCAGCACTTGGGAGGTAGAGTAGGAAATTCAGGCGTGCAAAGCCAGTCTCAGATAAATGGTGAATTTGAGGCTGCTTTGAACTGCACAAGATCCTATCAGAAAAACAGGTGTGGTAGCTTACACCTGAATTCCAAGCCTTGGGAGACCAGAGGGATTACAGTGAGTTAAGGCTAGTTAGGTTACAGAGTTCCAGGCCAGGCTAGGCAACAGAACGAGAACCTGCCTCCCAGAAAAAAGAAATTAAGATGTTTTTGTTGTTTATTTTTTGAAGATTGTTGCATTTTTTATTTGTCTATTTGTGGGGTTGGTAGGCTGGGGAGAGGTAACACATGCCATGGTGTACTTAGTGGAGGGAGCTTAGGACAGCTTATAGGAATAAGTTCTCTCCTACTATGTGGGTCCTGGAGATGGAAGTCTGCTTGTCAAGTTGGCTTTAGGCACTGGGCCTGTTAATTTTTTGAGATAGTCTCATGTAACCCAGCCTGATCTTGAACTCGCTCTGCAGCTAAAGCTAGGCTTGAATTCCTGATCCTCCAGCTCCCAAGTTCAGAAATTGCAAGGGTATATGCAACCACACCTGGCTAAGATGTTATAATGTGTGGGCATCCTTCTTTGAGAAGCCCACACGGATGCCCTAGATATGCCTTACTTTCTGGGTGTCTCTTTCTTTTCAACTATCATGATTATACTTTATAAATTTCTTTTTGAAATCCAATTCTTCATTTTTTAAAAAAAAAGAACAATGGAGCACTTTCAATGAAAATTAAAAATGGGACTCAAGACTCTTCTCTTTGCTAAATTTTAAAATGTAAATTTCTTTTAGCAACCTGTGAATTATCAGCCACTTTCCTTTGGTAGGCTCACTAATAATCTTTTTCTTTCCTAGTTTGCAATGAATCCATTTTATGAACCCAATTCTCCTATTCGATCAAGTGCATTTGACAGAAAAGTTCAGTTTCTTGGGAAGAAACACCTTTTAAGCTAAATGGAGAAAAACTGAAATAAACTGTATCATCGTGGGGTATACTCAGGAATGTGTGTTCTGTAAGTCATTTGAAACAGCCTGAAAAATGTTCCCTTAAAATTGTACATTGTTTTCATGTTATCAGCATTAATATTTGCTTGTGAACCGTGATATTTACAAACAGCTCTTTATCAGTAATTTTGAATGCTTTTATTTAAAAGCTTGAGAAAAATTTTGTCTTTCCCATGATAATTTGATCTTAATTTATTAATTCAAAAGCATATCTCATAGTTAATATCTGTTAGATTAATTTAAGACTGAAAAGTTATGGAGACATGAATGAAATTGAATTATTTATAATTTAGAGATGTTCTTTTAACATGCATAATACACTGCAGTACCAAGAAGCTGAAGCAGAAAGCCCATGCCAGTGTTACATGCTTGCCTACCTCTGCCAGAGGCTGAGAATCATCCTGCTGTAACTCTAAACCCCTACACTTATGTATGCTGGACCAGTTATAGGTCATGGCAAAATGTGTTGCCTCTGTCACCTTATATTCTAGTGTTTCCTTTCTCTTGTAAACTAAAGGTTTACTTTATTTAAACTTGTATCTGTACTTGAAAAAATGTTATAATACGGATTTGATATTACTAATAAAAGCCTGAGTTGCACTGACATTTGCACTTAACCTTTTAGGCTATACAGAGTGGGAGGTGGCAGATGTGGCCTCTTGCATTAGAAATGCTGGTTTGATTTTACAGTAGTACATATGCATGGCAAAGATTTTCATGTACATACTGGAAAAAATTTTTCCATTCTAATTTTTAAGTAAGGACTTCTAAACTTTCTTGTATTCTTTGGTGAACTTGTTACCATCACTCTTCTTTTTTTTTGACTTCTTAAATAAAATTTATATCCAAGACTCTGGTAATTTGATACCTACTTTTAAAATGCAGACCAACACCAACTTTTTAAATCCCATTTCACTACTGAAGTCTGAAAACTACTATGGTACATCTCGATCACAGATCACCTCTTACTAGCTGACAAAGGCACTCAGGCAAAATTCTAGGACTTGAGGCTGGAGAGATGTTACTCAGTACTTAGGAATATGTTTTTGTTCTTGCAGGTGACCCAAGTTGGCTTCACAGCACGTAAGGGGAGCACCTCTAGAGGGATTCAATACTTCTGGCCTCCTTGAGCACCTGCATTTACAGGCACATACCAACACACACACACTATTAAAAACAATAAATCTTTTTATAAAAATCTGGTACTTTGAACAATGCTCACAGACAAGACCCAAATATGTCTTTATCATATACAACTTGTCTCATCTTCAATGAGCACTTAACTCACCCAGGGAGGTGCTATAATTCCCAACCAGTAGCAGCCTCATATTATGGCATGAAGTCAGGTTAAGACTTGGGTTCTAGCCCTGGAGAATAAGAGGTACCTTGCAAATAGCCTTCTTTTTCTTCAGGCTTATGAGGGCAATATGTGAACTAGGACCATTCACCTTGTAAGTATATTACAACAGTTAAGTGCTAATTTTCGTGTGTGACCTTCAGGAAGCTCAAGGGCAAGTCCAGCAATGACTGAGACCTCAGAGTGTTCAAACAGGAAAGCAGATTCCGGGAATAAAGGCATGGGAGCCAGAACCTGTGTAAGGGGTAAAGCATTAAGCAAGCTCATCTGACAAAGTTTGGAGCTGATAGGTAATGTCCTACACAGGTAAAATTTCATGTTGGCACTAAATTTACAATATACATTTATACTCTAAAGGTGATCCAGATAAAAATACATAAACCTGGTTGTGTCCTTTCTGTAGCTGGACATTTCTAGGATACCTCACTCAGGATCCATGTTTCTGGTGTATTTCTAATATGTTGGCATTAAGTATTTACTTTGTCCTTACCCCTGTGGCTTTTTAAAGCTTTATTCATTAGCATGTGTATGAAGTTTAGAGGAGGGTGTATGTGTCATGGCATGCATGTGGTCAGAAGACAACATAAAGTTGGTTTTTCCCTAACGCCTTTACATTGGTATTGGTTCCAGGGATTTAACTTGGAGGTAGTCAGGTAGGTATATGGGGCCTTTACCCACTGAGCAAAGACAGGGTTTCTCTGTGTAGCCCTGGCTACCCTGGAATTCACTTTGTAGAACAGGCTGGCCTTGAACTCAAGAGAACTGCTTGTTACTGAGTCCTGAGTGTTGGGATTAAAGGATACACCGCTACCACCAGGCCTATTTTAATGTTTTTTCTTTTAAGATTTATTTATGTGTGCTGTATCTGCATGTACACCTGCATGCCAGAAGAGGGCATCAGATCCCATTACAGATGTTTGTGAGACACCATGTGGCTACTGGGAATTGAACTCAGGACCTCTGGAAGAACAGATAGTGTTCTTACCTGCTGAGCTAACTCTCCAGCTCACTTTAATTTTTTTTAAGACACCCATATTTCCTAGTTGACAGTCCATAGCATCCCAGAAACCACCATTTCACTAGGAACTTCTATTGGTCCATTTATTTTCTACTTCACTCTACTGCCATTGGAGAGAAGTTGCCATGGCATCATTATATAAATATGAAGTTAAACTACAATTGTAAAATAGTTTAAAGGAACATCTGGGATGTTTTCATTTCAACTCAGAAGGATAGAAGAACAGAAATATTTATACTGAGTGGACAAATTAACCTTTATCTGTTTCCAAGTTCAGTAGTGTGCTTCCTAAAATGGAAGTAACTGAGAAGGGTCTGTGTCAGTACAGTTTAACCTTAGCTAGATATGACTACTGTAATGAAAGTCAGACACCATATGGTGACTCTGCTCCTTAGCAGTGAAGCAGAACAGTTCCTCCCATCCATCTGCTTTCTTCCTAGACAGCTGCATGTCACTGCTTACACTGCCATACCACCTGCTTCATTTCCTATTTCTTGCTTTTCTGTATTGGCCATCTTTGTCTAGGTAATACCAGCACCCCTGACTTTCCTCAAACACAAGAAAATCCTGTTAGCTAGTTTAATGGCCAAGGCTATCCCTAAGATTTTGTTCCTCCTCTTCCTCATGGCTTATACAGTTGGTTAGCCAGTATTTCCTATACTCCTTTAACACCTTGTGAAGCTAGGTATTTCCTTTCTCCACAGACATAAAACTTCTTTTGATCACTTCTGGCTGCCCAGCTCTAACCTTTGAAAGCCAACTTTGAAAAACCAACTAGTCTAATTCTTCAACAGTAAACTGAAAGCTATGAACATATTTTTTGAAAGTTAAAATGTTAAATGTGGGTGGTGTTGAGCACACTTGAAATCCTGCACTTGGGAAGGTCAGGACTTTAATGCCAACCTGAGCTACAAGAGACCCTATTAAACAAAAAGCTAAGATGCTAAGATATTCAATCTACAAATAGAAAAATACAACATAGTTACTGTACTGGCATACTCCCCTGCTGTGATTATCTGCACAAGATTGGATGTGTTGTCTTTCCATTATGGAGGGGCTCACAGGGCCCCCCCTCCCTGAGGATCTGTGTTTCCTTAGGGGTATGGGGGAAGCCACTGGTTAAATTGCTCTAGTATACGTACACATGTATGTGTGTCTGTAGTAAAGGGTTAAACGTACCTATAGGCTGAGTTATGTCCCCCTAAAATTCTTGTTGAAACCTTAACTTCCAAAACTTGTGGTGTTACCAACTTGACACAATCTAAAATCCCATGGGAAGTCCCAATGGATATGTTAAAGTGAAGACCCACTGAGTGGAGGTGGCACCATTCCCTAGGCAAGGGATTCTGTTCTATGTTGAATAGAAAAGGAAAGCTGAATACCAGTGTCAGGTCCCTAAGAAACTGAGAATGGCTGTGCTTCCTATTAGCATATCAAAGTGGATGCCAGCCTCTAGGCTCAATACCTGTGGCTCCTTTGTACTCCACCCCCTAATCTAAAACCTCTTCAGCCCAAGGCCTTCTTCCCTAGTATGTCTTTCTTAATAACCTATAAATGATGGTTTTATTTCCTCAGATGATTGGATGAGAGCTGTACCCAATATATCCATATATCCATACATGAGTTTGAATTGCCCCAAATTTAAAATGTTCCCATATGACAAAAACTGTCCCTTGTATTAGTTAGGAAATTACTTTAAAAATCTTTTTAGCTTACTGCAATAATGTTTCCTCCCAGTTCCAATGGATGCCATCAGGAGAGACACTAGTTCTCCACATTCTATCCACTCCCATCCCCAGCCTAGCAATTCACTCTCCTGCTCCAGTATATCCTTAATAATCCGAGGGAAGGGAGGGTCTCATCCATATTATAACGGCAGTCAGTCTAGACTTATTTTCTTCCACAGGACAGGCATGTTGTTACACCACATATAAAATCAACTCATGAGACAATTTATGAGAGGAGGGAACCTCACTTGAGAAAATGCCTCATTACGATCAGGGTGGAGGGCTCAGCCCATTGTAGGTAACCCCTAGGCTGGTAGTCCTGGGTTCTATACCAAATCAGGTTGAGCAAGCCAGGCACTCCTCCATGGCCTCTGCATCAACTCTTGCCTTCAGGTTCCTTCCTTGTTTAAGAGTTCCTGTCCTGACTGCCTTTGATGATAAACAATGATGTGGAAGTGCAAACCAAAAAACCCCTTTCCTCCCCAAGGTGCTTTTTGGTCATGGTATTCCATCACAGCAATAGTAACTCTTTAAAACAAAGGTCATTGCTGAAAGTTGTCTTTTTAGGATAAAAATTTTGAGAACAAATCACTGAATAGTGGTAGAGAAGGTACTATGGAAATACCTGTGTAAATAGAGGTCTTTATTACCTTCTCAGAAAGTACAGTGTTGGGCTGAAGATACAGCCCACCAGCCATGCATTAGACATGGCAGCACAGGCTCATGCCTGTAATCCCTAACTTGGGACATGGGGAGGTAAGACCTCTAAGTCAACCTGGAATATACGAGATTCAATCTTGGAAAAGGAAATGAAAATTCATATAGCTAGCTCTTTGTTGGAAAGGGGGAACATATGGGCCACACAATTGAGATAGATTCTAATCTGTAGACTGAATAAGAAAAGTTAAATCATCTTAAAGAGATGAGGTAATCAAATCAAAAAGCATTGCAACATAAAGAAATGCATTAGATTTTAATCTTTAATAGTATTGATGTAGGAATTTACTTTGCTCGACCAAGAATAGAATGCTAATTACATAAAAATATACACATATAAAAGTAATTCTCCATTTTCTTGTGGGGCAAAACAATCTAAGTGTACTTCTAGAATAGTCAGGGTTTTTGTCCGAATTACAGTTAAGTCAATTCTTGGTCATCTTATTAGCACTAACATTTTAATTTAAGGAAACATTAGACAACCATTACAATTTATAAATGTAACGTGCCATTACTGAGTAAATAAGATTACTCCAGAATGAGTGTGTCCCTTCTCCCACCAACTAATGAGGCAACAATATGTGTTAATTGAATTTTATTAGTAGATGAACTCTTCTGCATACTAATTTTGTTCTCCGTGTGTGTGTGTGTGTGTGTGTGTGTGTGTGTGTGTGTGTGTGTGTGTGTTGGTTAAAATGCACCAACTATCCCTTTAATGCCATCAACAGCAAGATGAGTTTGGCTTGGGCTTTCGGTGCAGATTGACTGTGTCTGTTTGAATCAGGTGCTCTGACCTATCTTCCGTAGCCAGAATTCTTCGAACTGCCTCTTCAAAGGCAGCAGCAACATTGGTGGAATCTTTTGCACTCGTTTCAAAGTAAGGATAGTCGCCGTTGTCCTTGCACCAGGCTTGGGCTTCTTCTGTAGACACCTGCCGTTCTTTTATGTCAGTCTTGTTGCCCAAAATCACAAAAGGAAAGCTTTCAGGCTCTTTCACATCTGCATAATATATGAACTCTTTCTTCCAGTTGC